GAGTTTTATTAAAACTTGTGTAATGATGTAAGGGCTTGACAGTAAAAGTACACTAATTTAATTTGTTTTTCACAATAACAGACAACTGGATAGTCTAAGGAGAAGACAGATGATAGGGTTTTTCTCCTACTGACTTTTAAATCCTAGACAGTGTGATGTAAGTCTTGGCTTTTCTTTTGTTTTCTTCTACACAACTTAGCTCTTACAGGTAGTCTCCTTGTCAAGTATCTGGATATTCTTGGAAGACAGGAGTTATCTGCTTGTTTTCCCACAGGCTGGAGATAGCCTAATCCCTAGCTTTTGTAATTGAAGGCCAAATCCCTTAATGACTGACTAGGCAGAGGTAGAGCTACAGGTCTGTGCTCAGAATTGTGTTCAGGTTCTGCATCCGAGACTCATAGAAATGCCAAGTGGCTGCCCTGAGCTACTTTCCTTTCTGGCAGACCCTGTGGGCTGGCTCTGACATCCCTGTGCTTGATAATTCTCCCAGTCGTGAGCCACATCTGGGGGGACTAACTCACCTCCTTAGTGTCCATAGAGATACCTGGAGGCTTCAGCTAACACCAGGACTTCCTTACCTATCTCTGGGCACCTGAATTTAAGGTGGGACTTTGATAATCCTCACTATGTAGACCTTCTGTTAGAAGCCGGCATGTGGAGGGAGGCCATCCATCATTAGTCTTATGATGTATTACCCTCATTTTCTATGCAGTCACTTCTAGTGCTCCAGTCTGTAATCAGTGTTGTCCAGAATACCAGTGGCCTATGTAGGCATCTTCGTGAACCAGGACATAAAAACGTCTAACAGTCCGTGAATTTAGAAAGTAGTCTTTGCACCATTTGTCATCACTCAGTTTCACTGTGAGCAATGTCTCTGCATGAAATGTGAGCATAGCTATAAGTCTGGTATTAGTGAAAAAGTAGATTATCCCTGATTTAGCATTCCTTATTGTGATTCAATTTTCATACATGATAGGCACTACTGTTCAACAAGTGGCCTTGTCAGTGGTCAGCATTTCATTTAAACAAACATTTTGAGACCTTAAACTAGAGAGGTGCTTGGTCAAACAATTGATCAGTGGGTAGATGAAGGTAGTAATATAAACATGCTATAAGTAACATAAAAATGTGATATAAACATGTTACGAGGAGTAGCACTGGGAAAGCAGATGTATGTTTGAAGCCAGCAATTTTGATTTGCATATGTAAAGAAGAACATTTCTGAAAGCAATAAAGATTAAAGGTGCTGAGAGAAAATAAAATCATTTTTTAAACAAAAGGGACAGTTTGGGAATGTGTGTGATCATTTTGATTAGCTTAATCTTGGCTTGTCAGCATTTGATCTCAAAATTAATTTTATGGATTAAGGAATAAAATCTAACATTAACTATTGCAGCTTCTGCTTTAGTGGGGAGTTATTTTTCCAATTATTTTAAAAGGTAATAAATATGCAGTATAAGTGAAAGTCTCCAGATGTCAATAGGGTTTGCTGTAGTTATCATGAGAAAAAAGGATTTACGGTGAGTAGAGAAAACAGAATCCACTATATCATTTTATGGTTTCATAAGAGATTTTATATGCAGACATATATATATATGTTCATACACATGAAAAAAAATCACATTGAATATTTTAGATTGGATATAAGGAGGAAGTTCTTTACTGTAAGGGTGGTGAGGCACTGGAATGGGTTGCCCAGGGAAGCTGTGAATACTCCATCCCTGGCAGTGTTCAAGGCCAGGTTGGACAGAGCCTTGGGTGACATGGTTTAGTGTGAAGTGTCCCTGCCCATGGCAGGGGGGTTGGAACTAGATGATCTTAAGGTCCTTTCCAACCCTAACTATTCTATGATTCTATGATTCACACACACATACAAAGATATTAATAATATGTTTCAGACAAAAACATTTCCTGTATGTATGACCTTCCAGTATATTTAGGAAAGGTACAAAGAATTCAGCTGAAGAAAGTAAAGAGAGAGAGAAAAAATTGCTTTCTCCAGAGTAAATTAAGTCAATTGTCATATGTTTCCATCCACCACAAGAAAACTCCATGGTATATGGAAAAATTACTGTCAGACTGAGAAATGGTGTCAGTTCCTGACATCACTCAAGCCTGTGACAAACCTCCCATTGGCTTGCCTGAAAATGGAATTACATTGATTATGTTTTTTCACATGGCAAAGCATACCTACAGCAAAATAAGCTTTCAGAGCCCTAGTCCCTCTCCTTTTTATTATCATTACTTACTCTGCCTTACTGTAGTGAAATCCTTAAAAAATCTGTTATCCTTCATCTCAAGAGGGAAAACTTGTATGTTTCTTTAGAATAAATGTGTTGTCTTGCACCATATGATCAGTAGAGGTCCTGAAGGAGAAGATTTCCCTGAAGCCTAGCCCAGCATTAAGTAGAGGTTGGTTTAGACCATTCAGTAAAGCTACTTTCAGGAACTTCTATGGACAGATTCTATTTTTAATAAATCCTATATAAATCTGTGCAATGACAGTGTTTCTTTTTTTTTTCTTCTTTTACAATTTTCTCATACTGAAGACTTTAAAATATAATAGTTAGAAATAAAGGCTTGTTCTGTGACTTCCTTTGTTGGTTTCACAAAAAGTACTATAGAGACAAATTTCAGGAGCCAATCTTCAGTAGGGAAGACAGTTTGTTACTGTTTTGAAAATGCAGTGTTTTCAGTACTGTTAAAAAGTAAGCATGTGTCTAAACTAAGTACTCAGTGTAATTGGAATACTACAATTTCCCCAGGAAAGCTGGTCTGCACCTGGTGCGATTGGAAGCTATGGTCAAATACTTGACGAAATTCTCAGCTGGTTTAAATAGATGTAATGACCCTGACTTCAACTGATAGCTGGCACAGAGGAGAATTTACTCTGTTAACTTTTTGAAAGCAACCATTTTATTTATTCTTCAGCTCTGAGGATTTATGTTCCAGCTGGTCTCAAAAATCACACACTGGAAGTTGTAAAGACATGCTGAGGAAAAAGAAAAAAGTGGCAGGAAACTTGGCAGGAGAAGAGACACTGAAAACTTGAAGCAGAAACTATGGCAACCTGAATCACTCCTTGTATGAAATGTGCAGCATTTTCTGTCAGTGACACCTGGAGGACGAGGGTTTCACCTCAGCAGTGCTGTCTTGCAGTGAGAGAAACAATTCTCCCCTTTGATTTGGCATGTGTGAGATGGCAACCCAGAGAGCATCCACACATGTGCTCTTGGGAACACTCCAATAAAAGAAGCACGTGGACAAACTGAAGTGAGTCCAGCAGAGGATACCGTGAGTCAAGAGGCTGGAGCACAACGTGTATGAGGGGTGTCTAAAGGGTATGAGGTGTGTTCAGCTGACAGTGTAGGAGGCTCTGGGGTATCCTCTTGGGTGTATGCTATAGGATGGGAAGGACAGGTGAGTAGCTAGAACACAGGGCATTAAGATTAGATAGGAGGAATGATTTTTTTTCATCATGGGGGTTGTCAAAGGCTGGAAGAGAGGTTGTTGATGCTCTCTAAAGATATTCACAACTCAACTGGACAAAGCCCTCATCTAAATGTGGCATTGCCTTGAGCAAAATGACCTCCAGAGGTCCCTCACAACCTGAATTATTCTGTGTTTTTATGATACCGTTCAGTTTACTTAAATTGATTTTCTTTGTTTTCAAAGAGAAGTGACAGTTTCAGAAACGATACAGCTGTTGATTATATACTTCAGGGGGCAGTGTTAATGGAGGAGCTGCAGCTCTTTTAGCCCCCTGGTAAATTCAGGCCTCAGTTTTTATTGTTTTCTACCTTCAGCTATTGTGTAGCATTGCTGAGCTCATAAAACAGCTGCTGTGAGTGGTGTGAAAAGTAATTGATGCATATACTTCATAGAGCTTGTAAAATGATTTGGAAATTACTATAAAGAAGTGAGCTGCTATTTTTTATCACTACAGAAAACCTCAAGATGGCAGATCACTAGATCAGCTATATGTACATCCATATATAAATATACATATGGATCTCAACTGTCTTTTATGTGTCCTCCTTGCCTCAGCTTCTATTTCTTCTCTCTACTTTTTAGACAAGAATGTCCATATATCTCACAGGGTGTGTCTAAACTTTTATTAATTAAACTTTAGAGACCTTTGAAGATGAAAAAAAGGAATATTATTATCAAGGATTATTTAAACTACATTTTTGTGAGGTTGAAATACAGTCCAGCTGAGAACTACATGTCACTGCCTTAGTGAGAATAGTCAACTAGTGAGTTTTGAGCCAGTACTATGTCAAATTAAAATTAGACTTTGCAACAGTAAACTCTGTGCTGAAAAATCCATGTGGCTTAAATGTAGGAAGCTGAAAAAATAAACACCTATTTTTCTTATTCATATAATTTGCCTTCCTGTTAGTATTTTATTTTAGAAGAATCCAACCCTGAAATCTGTACACAGCGATATAAACAACTGCATGGGGAAAAAAGAATCCAGTACTTACCAGCAGTGAAGTTTGTCCAAGGATTACCACAGTGAATAAAACCAACTTCCCTTTTAAAAGCTGAGTGTACTATTTTGGGAATGTGACCCCTTTTCATGAATAAATGACGTGATGACATTTACAGATAAAGCAAGATTTAACTGCTATGAAAGGAGATGACAAATGTCAGGATGTCAGTAATGATCTGTGAACATAATGGTCTCTCACCAGAGCACTGAGTAGATATATAATGTAACTGTCGCCTGCTAATGCTGCCATGGAAGAAGAGAAGCAAAGCAATATGAGGAAGATCAAAAACGTCTTTGGAATCAACCTTAAAGTCTGATTGATAGGCATTGGTATAACTTAGCTAATAAATTATACTGCTAATGACTTAAGGTTTTTACCATGTGCATATTACTATTACACACTGTGAAATTCCTGTGTAACTTACAAGTGTATTGTGAGAGAGGATGAAGTGTTGGCCATCAAAATGGCTTTCTGACAGTTTCTTTATCCCTGCTTTACTGCCAGGGCTCGGCTGTTGCAAAGGTCTTTCTGGAGCTGAATAGATTTACAGCTGCTAGAGTTGGTTCCTGGAGCCCAGGTTGCTAAAGAGCAGGGTAGGATTTTCCCTTGGCATGAATCGGCTGTGGGAAAGATCATCAAGACCTCCTACCCACATCAGGATTGTCCTCTTCAGGTATTCTCAAGTGTTATGTCTCTCAGTTTTTCACACCCTGGCATACTGCATGTAGGCACAGCCTTGTGATTGCTGTCAAACTCGCCTTGATGACTTCCTTTGGAAACTTAGAAATATGCTAGGGAAAAAAAGCTTGCATTATTTATGCAGTTATCATCTCAAGTTGTCTCAGGCAACTGCCTCCCACCCCTGGGCTCCAAACCAAATCCCCCATTTGTCTCACATATTGAATGCTTTCTCCATCTGACAGTTAAATTGATTCTCATTTGCTATTTAAAGTGAGAAGAGCTTTTGGAAATGTGAAGGTTTAAAAATCCTGAGACCTAAGCACATTGTGGCATGGAAGGCAGGGAGTTTCTTTGCATGAGCTCCCAAGCCTCCTGGCAACTTCACAGCTCTCAGCTGTGTGCAGTGGGTTTTGCTTTCTTCGTGCTTTGCTTCGACAGTTAGTCGACCTTTTCTCTGAGTAGGTTAGCCTGCCACAGGGCTTGTGTTACCCAGAAGACCAAGGATGTTTTCAGAGAGGTGGTGAAACTGTAATTGAAAGCCAGATATAGTCAAGCTCTGGTTCAATCAGCCAGGAAGCATTTGGCTGGTAGTTTGTTTATGAGAAGAAATACCACGGATAAAATATGAACATTAATGCAATAAAAATGACAAGCTCCAGAACATTGTGAAGATGATGCTGAGCAGTCAATAGATGTATTTTTTTTAGGAAATAGTCTGAGTTAAAGCTCCTGTTAATAGCACACAAGTATATCTTTAACACTACTTGTATAGATACAGTAATCACAGTATCTCAGGCAAATCCACATTACAAAGGAAACTCATTCCAATCTTCTGTATCTTTTGATCTGCACTTTACAGTCAGTCATCTATGACAGTGGAGATGGAGGTGGCATTCTGGATAAGACAGCCAGCATTGTAGCAATCATATATTGACATCCAGCAAGGATTCACCTTGATTAACATTATCCATCTAAAAGTTAGATGTCTTCTCTAATTGAATTCTTTTAAGCTTACTGTAAAGTCAATGGAGAGATGTAGGCATTGCAGAGGGCAATTGACCCTATCCTGAGACAAGTATTGTAAGATAAATTGTGCCTATTTCTTGCTATTCACTGTAGAGGGGGACCAACCCTCCAGAATAAATGCCTACTTTTGAGGTGGCTACACTTAGGTGTGACATTTTGGAGGGGGAGGGTGTAAAAGAAGTGCTGTTCTAATTACCATGGAATCAGCTGATCCGAAGGGTCAACTGCTTTAACACAACCTTGTTACTGTGCAGCATTAAACTATTAAATCTGATTAGGGATTTATAGTGAGGATACCTTCAACCACCATATCTTGCACAGAGGCACGAAAATTAATACTGAAGAAATACATTTTCTAAAATAGAAAACACATAATTAAAAAGTGCAGGAAAGATGAATTAAGCAAAAAAAAAAAAAGAAACTTATGAAAGCATTGAGCTAATTAATCAATGTCTATGTGTGTCCATTTTTAAAAGATGCTCAGATAAAGAGAAGTAGTAGGTAGTTCCAATGTTGAATCTTGCAATATTAATGTAAAACTCTGCTTTCTGACGAGAAAGACACAGCATTTGGAGAAGCAATACAATCATTCTGATAGTAATATCAATGCTCTCAGGATATAAGACAAAATGGATTCCTGTTTGTATCATTCTGCCATTCCTGCTGATGCAGTAGGGAACATTTAGTGCATTTGTATTGATATGAATGTCTCAGTGAGTAAAGGTTTTCAGTTAAATCCAGGTTTTGTGATGAGAAGTAATTTTAGAAGCCGCATATTTGATCATTTTAGTCCACAAAGCCTTTTCTTGAAAATGTTAAAAGGTAGTTTCTGGGCGGACTAACTAGGGTTTGATTACTGCTTAGGTCTAATGTTTAGCCATCCATCTTGATTCAGAGATTCCTAAGGTCACATGTTTCCAGCTTGTTAGATGTATATTCTAGTGTTAGTGGACCATTTCTGTTTGAGCTAGTTGGGATTTTTCAGTGTAGTTGTTTTTGCTTGATTTGTTGCAATATTTAATTAACTCTTAAATTGGGTGGATTTCTAGGTTACAGTTATTGGACTATTATTTAGGTCTGTTGGTGAAAAGACGTACAAAATGTGTTAACAATTCTGCTCGCAGAAAACCTGGGAGAGAGTTTTGCTTTTTTATTTCCAAAACACTGAGTTTTAATCTGTGCTTTTAATGCCTTGTACACTCATCAGCTAGAGGAGGACACTAGCGGTTATCTCAGCCCTGATGCTTACTAACAAAGACTGACAACTGCTGACACAACAACCTGCCTTGAATTATTTTTGGGTAGGGGGTGGAATGGGTTGGCTTAACACAAACATGTAATTTCAGTAAACCACCATTTTCAGAAAGCAACATTATTTCAAATTTCCTTTGCTGACAGGGAGATGCATTTTTTTACTCAGACCTCTAAAAAAAAATTATGCAGAGGTTTGAATAGGAAATTGGTGCTGAAAGGAGAATCACAATACGTACCCAGTGTCAGTCAAAATCTTCCGTTTTAATTTCTGTTCCGGGTTCTACTCAAGTATAAATATGTATACAAATTCTTATCCTTAATTAACTGCAGAGCTTGCAAAAAGCATTTATTGCTATCCATTTCTTTCTTATCCCTCCCCTTATCTCCCCTGAGTAGAACTGCATGTTGAGTAGACACACTATAACCCCATAATTTGAAGCTACTACTATAGCATCAATTCTTCTGGATGATACCACACCTTGTCAGTCAAAAGTGATTTGAGCTTAAATTGTCAGTTAAAGATGCTCTTCGTTTTTATTGTCCTGAACTTGCAGGCAGTCTATTGGATGAAGTGAATTACTTTGTTGTTGAAAATGCTTGTGATTTTGAGTGAAGGACACAATCAGAATACACAATATTTTTTCCCCTTTGCATTTCACAACCTGCTCTGCTCCTTTGCCACTCAAACATATTACAAAATTGCTGACATCTAAGATGATCAATCAAACCCTTTGCAGTTCTGTAAATGATCAAGCTTGACTGTCTGTGGAGCTGTTATTTGGCAGTGCTCCATCTGGAAAATAAAATACAAACATCAAAAGAAGTTCAGCTAGGTTTATATTTCAGACGGTGGGTTGCTTTTTTTGATAGCTTGTCTGTTATGTAACAGAGTCTATTGGATCAAATTAGAAAGCAGACCTTTGTCTTTTCATAAATATCTGATCCTTGAGTTAGCCAGATGACAGTAGAGACACCTAAGCAGTTGTTGGTGTTGTGCTGCTACTCCGCACCCTAATGTGCATAGCCTCCCAGAAAAACATGAGATATATACAGGAGTATTATACAGGAACTAGGGAAAGCTGGAGTAGCCCTATGGTTTATAGGATTAGGAGGTAGGTGCTTTCAGCAATGGATCTGTTACCTGCTCCTCAGTTCTACACAAGTCTCTACCAAGGTTAACACCACGGCACACTAGGGCTGGGTTAGTTGCCTTTAAAATTGCCACTACTGATCCAATGCAACTGTGCTATAGAGAATTCTGTGTATATTAGATTAGTCTCAATACAGAAAAAATAAAATGCCAATGTTCGTAAATTGTTTCCCTTCTTCATACTCTATCCTTGCATTTAAATTATGGCCTTCCCCTCAATTTTATGAATTCAGCTAAACTGATGATACAACTTGACCCAAACACATTAAACAAATGTACCAAACTGAAGAAGGAACACAACAGGCATGAATAGTTTGTTATCTAGAGGTGAGTATGTGCCACTATCCCTTGCCATAGATACAGAGAAGTGGGCAGAGAATTGATGGTCTGGTAACCGCAGGAAGTAATTTGCCAGAGCTGGAGAGAGACAGCAAATCTCCCGACACTTTATGCTGTGATTGGTCATGCCCAAAAGGCGTAACAGCCAACTTGAACAGATCAGCAAAGTTCTCATTAGCCAAATTCAGAGCTAACCTTTCTACTCACTGACTGCACAGAGGGCAAAACAGTAATCACAGTGGAAAAGGTGTCCTTAGCAGTCTAAAAAGAAACTATCAGGTAGTAAACATTGTTGATCAAACACAAAATTGGACAGAGGAAATGAATCAAATGCTTCTCTTACTGGACAAAACAGAGGTGAAATGTAGTTATGAGCAAGAATACTTTGCATGGTGTGATGGACATACTACCAGTTGATCTTGGTCAACTAAAGTGGTTTTTGGCGTAATGTGAAGAATATTGTTCCCTCAAAGGACCATGAAGGAAATGAAGTGCCCAGTTTCTTTGCCAGTTTTTTACTCTCAGACTATGTGTAAAAATTCCAGCCAGAAAGAACTGACAGGGAAAAGAAAATAATAGCAAGAAGAACAAAACAGTGTCATACAAGTTGAAACATATTTAAGAAGTTTTTTTATATTATTTGTCTTTGTTATGTGATTTTGCATTGCATTTTATACACAAATTTTAAGCCTTTTAACCAAACCTACAATATTCATTTAGAAAATAGATTTTTTTTTTTTAATCTCAGCAGAAATTAGAATTGCTGCATTTAGAATCACATCCCATTTCTATCAAATACACATCTTTTCCCCTGCAGCTTTTTTTATGTTAGTCAATATCTTTTAATGTTATCTGATGGTTTCCTAGGAGATGCCCTAAATGGCCAAACTCACTAGTTTGATGCTGGTGTCAGATAATATCTATATGCACTAAACATCTGTTTTGTTCACTGAAGTCTGCTCTGCCCTTTTTCCACTGGTCATTATGTTTCCCCTGTGTGTTTTTAATGGCTGCTAATGAGATAAGAAAAAAGCTCCATGTACACTTCCATCTTCTCTGATGGTGTGTGATCAGAAGTCTGTGCTCTTTGTTAGAAGCAATGACTTCAAAATCATTGTTAGTATTTCTTTGCACAGTAGTTTGAATGCAAATTTTACACTTAAGGACTAAAGTGCCTTTTAAAAATCTGTAAGAAGCAATTAGAAAGAGAAAGA